CCCACTTCCTCGGTCCCCAGTTGTCCGACATCGCGGCACTTGCCCAACAGTCCCCAAGCCCAAGCTCCAATCCGTCTGACTCGTTCCGCATCCCCGCTTCTGACATTCTCGGACATCAGCCTGGCCATTATTCCCAGCACAGCCAGTACGCTGTCCATATCCATACAGGCCAGCTGAACAGTCTGCGGGTCCACCGCCAACAGAAGCCGTCGCCACTCCTTGCGGGCAGTCTTCGAATGTCGGGGGAAACTGATCGGATGCGAATCGTCCAGTGCCGCAATCGCGCTCGATGGTGGCGTGCATTTTAGGATGGATCGGAGAAGGAGGAAGCGATGGTGGAGGAGATTGTAGTAGCTCGACTGCGCTACGGAGTATTCGTCTTCCTGTGGTCCCGTGGCTGCTTGCGCAATTTCCGGTTCGGCAGGAGCGGCCATGTAGACACCATCTGCGAAGATACCGTCGCGCAATGGTGCAGATGCTGATTCAGGCTCTTGCTCTTCTGTGATCACGTCTTTTGTCGTCTCTGTTGGCGTCCCCGCAGGTTTGGGCGCGGTAAACAGGAAAGGTAGGGAGTTAGCTTCGGATCTGTACTCTCATGAAAGAGTCATTGGCCGGCGATTAGCTTCGACACCACCAAATGCTCGTCGCAAGTGAGAACTATACATGGGGCAAATGACATGTAGACATTTAGCAAGCGGGGAACAGGAATAAGATTAACGAGGGATCCGCAAGGAAAAGCTTACCGGACCATGCGAAGATACTCCATCCCATCCTCTGCTTCACCGTAGAACAGCTCATCCTCCACGTCGACATCCAAGCCTGGAAAGGCGCTCTTTTGCCCATACACGGGGTGGTTGCGAGGGCGTTCGTAAGGCGTCACGGCGGGCGTCATCTCGTCGGCATCATCCTCTTCTGCATACGATGGACGGGCACGCTTCGAGTAAGGAGATGAACCAGAGGCAGATGTGGGTGGTTTCCGCTTCTCCGGCATGATTTGAATGTGGGTTTGCGTTTCAGAGCGTTGTTGTTCTGATGCTGGCAGGATTCATGATTCTCCGACCCAAAAAGTTCCAGCCTCGGGAGCTTGGGCCACCTCTTATAAGGGCAGCTCAATGGATGCCTTGCGCCCTTGGCAACTAAAATGGCCTCCTCTGAAAGAACGCTACGCAGACAATCTGATCCGAAATTGTCTCTGAATACGATTATGTGGCTTGTCCAGTCTCATCTTTCCCATTATACTTTTGTTCATACGGGTATGTAATGTCGTCGCTAGCTAAACTAAATGCTTAAGGTCGCAGGCGCTGGGGGTCACGAGGGAACAGACTTGCCAAACGAACGTTAGGCAGGCCCAGGAAGAACATGACGATACGGTTCAGGCCCAAGCCACCACCCGCGTGGGGAGGACAGCCCTGGCGGAAAGCAGCCAGGTAATCTTCGAAGCCCTCCTGCTTGGGATCGAGGCCCTTGGCGATCATCGACTCCTCGAGCTCCTTGATGTCATTGATACGCTGCGCTCCAGACATGATCTCCTCACCACGCATAAAGAAATCATAAGAGTTGGAGAACCTGGGGTCCTGGGGGCAGGCCTTGGTGTAGAAGGGCCGGACGGCCATAGGGAACTTGTCCAGCACGTAGAAATCAGTGTCGTACTTGTCGCGGATGATCTGACCCAACTGCTTCTCCATTGCGGTGGTCAAATCGTTCTCGAATCGCTCCTGCTCAGAAACATCGACACCGGCATCCTTGAGCAGAGCCACACCGTCCATGTAGTTGAGTCTCAGCGCCTTGCCATCCTTGGGAAGCTTGAAGTCGCCAGCCTTGGGGTACGACTTCTGGATAATGGCAATCTGATCCTTGTAACGCTCCTTGAGTTGGCTGAGAATGAAGACGAGGAGGTCCTCGGCAAACTCCAAGACCTCGTGGTAATGGCTGCGGAATGTCTTCTCGAAATCAAGACCGGCGAACTGGAAAATTGATTAGTATCAATCGATTCTCAAAACAAAACAGATTAGTTAGCATACCTCGGTCAGATGTCTGTGAGTGTTGCTCTCCTCAGCACGGAAGACAGGAGCAATCTCGAAGACACTCTCCATGTCACCCGCAATGCACATCTGCTTGTACAACTGGGGGCTCTGCGCCAAGTAGGCGTTGCGCTTGAAGTACTTGACCTCAAACACATTGCTGCCACCCTCTGTGGCGGCACCGACCAACTTGGGAGTGAAAATCCATCTCGATCCGCTCTTGATCATGTACTCTGCGAATAGCTCCGCAACACCACTCGAAATCCAAGTAATGGCCTGGCTAGTCTCTGTTTGTAGATCAAGAACGCGGTTGTCCAGACGAGTCTTGAGAGTCACAATAGGAGCGCCCTCTGCGTCGACCAGATTGCCCTCCTCAGTCGTCTCTGGCGGTGGTCTCTCGGCATCCTTAACCTGCATAGGGAGCATCTGGGCGGCCTCTGAGATCATGTAGACTTTCTGAATGTGAATTTCGAGGTTGCTAAGAGTAGCAGAAGAGATGGGGATGGCAGGCTTCTTGACGATACCGGTAACCTGGACGATGGAGTTGACGTTCAGACCGCCCGTATATTTGACCATCTGTCTCGAGATGGGCTCCGCGGCCGCAATGACAGCCTGCACCTTCTTTCCCTGCTGCCTCAGCATCAGGAAAGCAAGTTTAGCACTCTGAACACGTGCATTGTCCACACGGGCCACCACTGTAACCTCCTTCTCATAGTGGTCCTCGCCGAGCTCGGAGAATTTCGTAGAAGGAACGACATCTTCAGATTCGGGGAGCTGGCCGTACAGGCCCTTGGCGGTATCGTTGGCTTCAGCAGCAGCAGCTTGAGCCTTTTCCTGGGCTGCACGAGCCGCCGCCTTCTCGGCCTTGGCCTTTTCCTTTGCGGCCTTCTTCAAGGCACTCTTGCTGGGACCCTTTTCGGCTCCTTCGGCCGGGGAGGCCGCGGAGGTTTCCTCGGGCTTGGGGCGAACGGGCAATTCGGAGTCCGCCATGGTCGCTGGTGTTTCACGGAGTTTGCAGACTGGATCGGGGGAGGTGGGCGTCGTTATGACTCTCTCAAGCTCATGAGTCAATGAGATGCTTCGACTCACCCCGCCAACCCATACTAGCCCTGAGCCCTAGGAGGGGCTCCATTTGAGTCACGTGTTTGTGCCTTGATGCCTTAGGTATCAACTTATACGGTTATCTTCGGCATGTTTGAAGCTATAAACAAAGGCGAAAGAAATTTATTTGAATCGGTTCTGGAATAACACTACATCTTTCGAAAGCAATTCAATACAGAAAGTCTGTGGTATCTCAGATATAGACCTATTATAACGCAGGTCTGCCAACACTATATATATGCTTGCTTCCACTCGCATAATCCCTAATGCATGCGGTTCGCTCTATAGAAAATGAACTATGCAGTTGATCCAGTCTTTCACTTGGTGAGTTTCCACCCAGAAGACTTTATTCCCCATTCGACAGCCTTTTGTACATCGTCAACGATGACTTTTGGAGTCCAAGCGGGTTCTCCTCCCCTGTAGACACCAGTGCGCACAAGGATCGAATGCCAGTTGCTGCCATTTCCGCTGCGGTAGCTGTTTGCGCCTCGGATATCGGACTCTGGGTTGTCCCCGACCATATAAACGTTCCGTAGTGGCTTAGTGCCATCCGTTCCAAAGATCCTTGTGCGATTGCGCAGCAGTTGTCGCTCCGCGAACTCATACGTTCCTTGGTATGGCTTCCCGATGATCGTCTTCTTCAGCTCGACGCCTTTGCTTGGCCCTCCGGTAATCGCGGCCCAGGTTCCTTCCAAGGCCTCGCGAAAACCTCCTTGGCCCAGACGCGGTAAATGGTAAGCAGCTGCCCACCACAAGTCGGGGTTTGAAAAGTACAGATGTGGCTGGCCGTCTTGCAAGAATCCCCTGTTTGGGAGATCCGTTCGCCCATTCTTGTCCGATACTGTGCCCAATACACCCTGCGATGATAGTAGAAGGTCGATAATCACATGAGCGTCCAAGCCCCAGTCGCGGGGGTCATTGAACACGAAGATAGCATCAATCTTCAACCCCTTGGTTGGGTCCCGAGGGTCCAGCGGGTTCGGTATCGGCCTCGCAAATTTCTCGTAGTAATCTTTGAAAACTTTGGAGAAAGGCCAAATGGATGGATTGGCCATGAAAATATCGCCAGGAGTCAGCACATTCTTGAAGCCATACTGCTCCGCAACCCGACGACAGCCATCACCGTCACCTCCGACAACTAACACACGTTTATTCTCCAAGGAGCTGTGTTCATCTGGCCCCTTCACAAGCTCCGCAAAAGGAGAATGGCTTTGGATGATGACTGAGGCGTCCAATGGTACCTTGAGCTTCTCACTGATCTCCGCCACTCGCTCTGTCTCATGTTTCCCACCGCCATTTGTCAAAAGAATAAATGGAATTCCTTGGCCCTTGAGCAATGCTAGCGACTCCGCCGCACCGGGGATAGGCTTGGACGACCGGAGGAGTACACCATCGATGCTAGGTCACGATGTGGTTAGCGAGGGCATTCACAGATTGCGATGGTCTTGAACTTACTCGAATGCGAATGCAAAGTCTGGAATCTGAGATATGGAAGTTGCAGTTTGGATGGCTCTGCGACAAGAGTAAGAGTATGCGCTCTGCAGTCGTCCAAGAGAGCGCCAAAGAGGTTGCGGTCTCATTCTAAGCAGACGTAGCTAAACAGAAGATGTGTATGCTCTGTATCATTGATATACGCACATAAATATATATTGACAATGGTGCAATTGAGTGTAGAAGGTGAATTGACGGAGTCGGAGAAGGGGAGATAAAGCGGAGTCACACAGAACAGCGGGCAGCGGACGGACACAAATGAGATCATTCCCCGGTTATTTAATCTCTTATCGGACCAACATCAACGGCTCTCTACACGGCTTTTCATCTTAGGTGTCTCTCTACTCTGCGCCAGTATCATGGCATTCAGCATCTTATACGCCCCTGATGCACCCTACTCACCAAATCTATCTGCCTACTGAAATTGTTGTGCAAATCGTCCGCTTTGTGGCTGCAGATGAAGCCCATCGTCAAGAGGCGCTATATGCATGCTGCTTAGTATCGCGTCAGTGGTATTCCGCAGCCGTCTCCTTTCTGTATGAAAAGCCCCGGCTACATATCGGAAACTCTTTCCAGCAGTTTGTATCAACTTGCTCAGGAGTCGGTGGACGGAGGAATAAATTGAATCTGGGAAGTTTTGTCCGCCGCCTGGATCTCAGTCGGCTGGTGCACCATAGCTCCAACAGCGTGACTGCCAGACTGCTTGGCCGAGTCAAGGCGAACCTGGAAGTTTTCGTGGCTCCAAGGGTGTCATTTGCGTAAGTATTGGTTCTCCCGTTTGGATTTGCCGGTTTTCTTCTCTTAATGCTTCCGACCTTGCATCAATCGAGATTTGCCGCTAACATGAGTTACAGTGTCAATAGCCTTCCTGCTCTGTCAAAATGCACGAATCTCCGCCATCTTGATCTCTCCCTGGTTGCGGATCCGATCGCCTTCCCCAATCTTAAGAAAGCGTTAAGTCGTCTACCGCGACTGCGTACTCTTCGAATTCCCCGCTCAACCAATCTCGATGTCCCCGACTCATCACGAACAGAATGGCCTCCCCTCCTTCATAAACTGCAACTGAGCGGTCACTTCTCAGCCACTACGATCCCCTCATTTTACTGGCCGCCTGCTCTCACCAGCCTGACTTTGAAGAATTGCACGGATTTGTCGGTGACGAACATTGCCTGCTTGTTCAGTAGTCCGCAGCTGAGCGAGACCCTAAAACACCTTACAATATCCTACGCAAATCGTGGGCTTGAGCCCGGGTCTATCAATGCTGTGACGGCGTTCTTACCCAACCTGACATATCTAAGCGTCCCCGGCGATATGGTAGATGAGACATTCTTCGATGTTCTATACTTCCTGTCACCTCCTTTGGCTCTTGAAGTGCTCGAGTTCGACATGCCTCACTTGGACCCAGTACTCCATTTTGAAACAGCATCCTTAATCATGGCGCTGGACAAAGGCCTGAGTAATGTCCGTTCCGTCGGTTTTTCGGATATATTCTGCACCGACGAGCGCATTGTCGAAGACGAAGAAGTTGACGATGTCCTTCATAAACATGCTAAGCAGAGAGCTGAACAAGGTGCGCCGACCGCGGTCGACGAAACTGAAGTCGGAGTATATTACATGTGACTGGCATGGCTCTCCGATTCTATGAGATTGCATGTACTCGCCGCAGATGACTTATGATAATGACTTATGACCTCGGTAAACTGTTACCTCCATGATGACAAAAGTAACTCGCCAGTGTGAACTTTACAGCATATCTCTTTACATTTTGCGGACGTCATGTACTCTAGACACAGTTGCTTCACAGCTAGAATGTATCAATTATGATGTACTGCCAAAATGCATGACCCGTTTACCATGTACAGGCTGGACAAGTCCAGAGTTTATGCTATGTAAGAATTTCCGAACCTTAAATCATCAATTTCCTGAAGCTCATTCAAAGAGGGTTTCCTTTCATGAGTACGGATGCAGGGCTGTGGATGGGAAATCCCTCGCTCGCTGTATAGACATATATATCGTTCCCCCGATGAGCAGCAAATGCGGACAAAAGCTCAAAGCGCTTACACAGGTAGCGCTTGAGTGACAACAAAGATGTCTGGTCAGACAACAAGGTTAGGAAGAAATCAATCTGTAGCTCTGCAAGTCTTATTGCGGCGAGATTTTCGTGGGCAGCTGTCGACTTTGAATTTCCGTGGAATGGCCTCAGAGAAATGAGGTATGGTATCAAGAAGCGCTGACCATAATGAATTCTTTCAAGGCTACAGTATCACACTGCACAAGTCTGGTCGACAGATATAGAACAATGACCTGAAACATTTTTGATAGGTTTGCTTCTTCGACGACTAAGTACAACCAAGGTCTAACTAAGGATCCTCGAGTCATAATACTGCCCTCCTGGGACGGTAATGCTATGAGAGGGTGAGGGAACCAAAGGTACGGAACGTCCAGAAGATGGAACGAAACAGGGAATATGGGTAAAAGGATCAAAGAAAATGTAGAGACCAAGTGGATAACGGGGTTTGGCGACTACACAAAATAGTCATCGCATCTAGCTTGACACCTGAATTATTGGTAGAAACTGGCAATTGAAGGAAAAAGGAACAAAACGCAGGATATGGTTCTGGTCTCATGAAAATGCAGAATCCGTCGTTAGTGCACGCCTGCTGAAACGTGCACCCATTACAATATACAACCTTAAGCAAGAGCTGCCATGACAGCGGGAGCGACACCTTCCTCCTCCGCTCGAATGGTGATCTTGGTAGTGACACCCGTCTTGCTTGAGAAAGCCATCTTGATCAAAGCTGCAACCCTACCACCTGACACAGTCTTTCCGAAGAGCTTGAGCGTATGTGTGCTGTTGCTTAGAGCCACATCTGAGCCTTCTAGAGGCTGGAGAGAAAGGGCAGTGATCAATTGCTCGGTGGCATCTGCAGTCAAGTCAGTATATCGAATTGGATTCACGTTGAAACATCGAATTCGAGACGCACCTGAAATGCTCTTCATGTTACTGAGTTGCAGTGTCTCGCTGACTTCCTCCCCGTTCGCGCCGGTCTGCTCCCAGACGTGGTCAAAGCTGCCGGCAAACGTGGGAATGACATAGTCGCTGCCAGTAAGCTCCAAGTCCTCGACTTGATACTCGTCCTCATATCCGCTATCCTCCGGCTCTCCGGAGGTAGGGTCGATCTCTTTGCTGGTAAATTTCAAGATATTCGTAAATGATGTGACAGGGAAGCTGTGTTCGCCGGCGAGTTTCTTGAAGGTGACGTATACGATACCAGGCTCGTTTGTAGCCAGCTTGGGAGCTGGCACGATGAACTCTTCTTCCAGGACCTCTTCCTCGGAAGGAGTGGCGACTACCGTTACATCCTCAAGTACCGTATCGGGCAGAGTGTTCTTGATGTCGTATTGCACCACAATGTGCTCCTTGAAAACATGCTTGACAGCTGTCACCACGTATTCGGTCTCGCTCTCAGTAAGCTCAACAGGCACAGAGGACTTGAGCAAAGTTCCGTATGCCTTGAGCTCGGGAATTTGCATGAGTTGCTCGGCATATTTCTGAGTTGCCGCTGCGGTTGCCGCCTCGGCGACGCCGTTGGCCTTGCCTTTGGGAGGGCCCGCAGAAGGAGCCTTGAGGGTGGGTGTTGCAGTCGTGAGCTTCTTGGTCCTCTCTTCGGCCAATGCTTGTTCTTGTGTGACAACAGGAACCGTGGAAACGTCGAAAGCCGCGGCAAATGTCTCCTTGTCTGTCGATGTCACGTACATGACAAGCTGGTGTTCGAACGTAGAAAGTGAAAACATAGAATCTAGTTCTGTAAGTTTTCGAAAATATCAGATTGAATCAGAAGACTTATACATACCGTTCTTGATGAACCGCTCGGCCATCTCGTCCTCTTCCGCCATAAGACGAAGATTGAGGGCAGCTCGGTCTCGTACCTCATCGTCCGTATCGTCAAGGCAGCGTGTAAGGAGGACGGAGACACTGGATTTCACTTCAGGGTCCTTCTGTCCGACGCCAAACTTGGCCAGGGCCGTTACAGCGGCAGCTCGTACGATAGCATTCTCCAGGACGACTCTATTGTAGATGTAGCGAATGTACTTAGTGGGGTGAGATGTCTTGGGCCCTTCCATACCGAGAAGGTGCAGAATTCGGACCGACAACTTGGTGAATTCACAGTCCTCAATGAACTCGCAGAGGTGGGCAAGGGCTAGTTATTGTTAGTTGGGTTGCCAAACAAGCAGGGTAAAAAGAGGCGGAATAGTAGGGTTGGGGGTTCGCACCGTCTTCTTTGCTCTCAGGAACGAATTTAATCAGGTCGAACATGCTTTCAACGACACTCCGCTTGAATTCATATCCACCCTCGTCCCTGAGAATGCCGCTGAGGAACGCCAGCATACCGGCCTGCTTGCTGGGGAACTTCAAGCAGAGAGTCCGAATAGCCTCAACAATAGTGATCTTGAACTCATCCGTGATATCAGCCATAAAACCGGAGATCTGCTTCATCAAGCGATCAACACTGGCCTCGTTGCCAGTCTTGAGCAGCGTTGTGATGGCGAAAGTGGCGATGGAACGGTTGGAGTTGGAGATAAGAGATTCAATGTCAGGGTTGCACACATTGACAACATGAGGCTTGAAACTGGCAAAGTTGTGGAGGATACGAATGGCAGCAAACTTAGTGATGGCGCGGGGAGAAGAGAGGAACAACTGGAGAACATGAACAGCCTGTGACGCTTCCGCATCGGTAACATCGCGCATATCGCAGATTGCCTTTGCCGCCTCGAAGTTGACCATCTCATGCTTATGCCGGAGCCAGCCATCGAGCATCTGCATCATCGGTTTCCTCAGGCCTGGATCCTCCTCCGCCAACTTCGCTGCTAATCGCACCAACAATACCAGCGCGGCGGGGCTCTTCACAACACCAGCTGCTCCATACTGCTGAACCATCTTCACCAACGCCATCCTATCATGAGAGCGCATCTGGTACAGGAGACCAATGGCATGATATTGAGTCATAAAGTTTGATTGCGAGATAGCGTGACTCGAAGAGCTGCCGCCGAAGCCAAGGAAACCGGTCGACGACTTCGATGCGGATGCAGCTTCCTGCGTCTCACTCTGCCATCTACGGACGACATCGCGCGCAATTGGAAGGAGGTGGTATGAAGAAACCAGAGCGGCGGAGGAGACAGAAGGGGTCTTGTCGACAATAGCGGTTTTGATCAATCGCTCGATACCTTGCACGGTGGTGGCCTTTAGAGATTGCATCAGCTACTAAGCTTAAAGAATGTAGTATAACCAAGGATGCTCACATCAATGATGCGGCACAGAGCCCGAATGGCGTTTGCTCTGTAGAGGATGTCGCTACCGACAGCGGTATCCTTCATGATAATGCTTGTTGACATGATGACATCCTCGGCCGTGTTCGCGAGTTCCTTCAGAATCAGATAGACCATTTGCCGCAGGGAAGGGTCCTTGTTCTGGAACAGCTTCGAAATGCCGAAGAATAGAGTGGTCGCCTCATTCGTGGGGAATTGCTCCCCCGTAAACATAAGGACAGCGATCTTGGTCAGGAGGGTTCGACATCTTCGTGGAGAGATTGGCGAGGAATTGAAGAGACGTGCTATCAACCGACAAAGGGAAGAACATGGTTAGTTGATTGCCTGGTAGTTTGGTAGCATCTTCAGGGGAACTGATAATCCACTTACCATCTTGGAAGACGGAGGTCCGATCGAGCTTGATCATGACCTGATCAGCGTCCTCATCCTTTTTGACGTAACTCATGGTGAAAGAAGCTGCTGATCTAACAGCAGCGGAGAGCTCTGTTCTGATACCCTCTTCTGTTGTAGGTTACTGGTAAAGGTTACGCCGGAGTCAACAGTGGAATAAGGACGGGTGGGTAAGTATTATGGGTAAGTCAGTTGCAATTGGGTGTGCAGGCGGTGTAAACGATTAACGCGCCCTCATTATCCGCGAGGGGTGAGGTAAAAGAAGAGAAAAGCGAAAGGCCAGGCCAGTAGGAGCAGTGTCCAATCTCAAGGCAAGGCTACCGACCCTGTTCCAGGGGAGAATCGAGCATGAATGGAGAGGTTGTTGCCAAAGCAGCTCCCAATGCCGTCGTACAATCTCCAGGTGGCCTTCCGCGTCTGTGGGTGCTCTAGCCACTGTGGCTGATGCTGCAAACAGAGCAAACACGCGGCATGCATCATATCATCATCTCAGGTACTCGGGAGCCTCAACAAACAATTGCATGCGAGCTATCATTCTATCTAAACTTGCGATTTCTATTTCTCACGATAGATCAACTTATTTCTCATCATGGAAGTCCAGGTAAACCCCAACGAGGACACCGAGTGGTAGGCAAACTCAATCTCCGTAATTTCCTCATCAAAGCCCCGAAAATCACTCACCCCGCCATAGGAATGACATTCTCCGCAAGCATGGCATTATCCCCGAAAAGCCCCAGGACCCTGAACCATTGATCCAAGAGGCCCTCGTGGAGGCCGAACGAAAAGCACATGAGAACAGGCTCGAAGACAAAGACCTCGATGAGCTGCATGATCTCGAAGATGAAGAAGACGAAGAATTCCTCGAACAATACCGGTACGTGGCCAACCATGAGAGTTCTGGTATCCTCGGCTGCGGGCTTTGGGGCTTTCAAGTACTGACCAAAATCCAGCCAAAAGCGCCTCGCTGAACTCTCTACCCTCCAGAAAACCAGCATCTACAACCAAGTCTACCCCTTACAAAAAGTTGACTACGCCCGCGAGGTAACAGAAGCCTCCAGCAAATCGTTCGTGCTCGTCCACCTCACATCAACCAGCGGGAACGTCGAGTCGCGGATCCTGTCCGACCTGTGGCGTCAACTAGCTATGAAATACGGCGACATTAAATTCTGCGAGATCCGCGGCGATATGTGCATTGAAGGGTACCCGGAGCGGAATACGCCGACGATTCTGGTATACAAGGACGGAGAGATTAGGAGGCAGCTTGTCACATTACGGGAGCTCAACGGACCCAAGACTAAGCTTGAAGGTGCGTTTATTGATGATTATTGTTGTATAGATGTTGGCTGAAGTTGTCTCGCAGACCTTGAGCGAATGCTAGTGGATCTGGGCGCCTTGAAAGAAAGCGATGTCCGGCTAAAGAAGCGATCTTACTCGTTCGACGAGGAGCGTCAATCAAACATTCGGAATGCGAACGTCGAAGATTACGATGATGATTGGGACTAAGGAAACGATGACTGCGAATTATCTTCTAGTACAACATTGCTATTATCATGCTGATTATACGATAACGGTTCGTCGATCTTTTTACACTCAAACGATGCATACGTTGAAATCTGGGACAAACCGAAAACAACATGGGTCAACTGGGGTTGTTGATCAACTCTCCTGCATTTAAGATTGCGACTTTAGGTTCATATCAAAGGATAGGTGACTGGGGAATGACAATTAGTCCTTCATGATTACAAGCATGTATATACCAAATTGTGAACCATTCAGTCGTCCGATAATGCCGCCGCAAACGCTAGCATTCTCGGCAATCATTACTTCATATCCCAACCAGCAGTCATGCGTGCGTTGATGACATAAATGAGAAAGATCATTTGATGAGCGTATATCAATCCCAGACACGATTCCTGCGCCAAATAACACCCTTCGACATAGCGCCGTATCCTCCCATAATCAGCTTCCAAACGCACCAAAATCCATGTTCCAAATCATAACTCAGTCCAAATTCGCCCCTGCCAAGGTCATATCAATTCATCGCGGCCAGCCGCAGCACTCGCCTCAATGGCCCGGAGCACCTGGCCCTCCCTGAACGCCGGACCCTGTCCATTACACTGAGCCATCCCCTTCAACCGATTAGAGACATCCCCGATATCGACCAGACCCTGCTTGTACAGCTCATGCCCCTGGATCAGATCCCAGGTCGCCCCGGCATCGAGGAGCCTCTCGCCCGTCTTCTCGCAGATCGTCACCCGATGCGTAGGCGCCGGCTCCCCCTTCGGCACAAGATTCGTGTAAAAGTCAGTAGGGGTGTACTTCATCGGACCTGTGACGGTTGGCTCCGAGTCCAGATGACGGCCTTGCGAACTCGCCAATTGGCCTGTGGTGGCCCGTAGGACCTCATTCTCCGTTGCGTACTTGGCCAGCTCCCGCTTCAGCCGTTCGTTATCGGCGGCTAGGGTGGTGGATTCTTGCTCGAGTGTGCTGACTTTCTCTTCCAGTTCGCGGACATGGCGCTCCTTTCGCTCGCGGAACGCTCGCTGACTGGAGGCACCGATGGGGGATATGTTAGCCGCACTTATTCCACAGCATGCTTCCAGCGCGGGCGTGTATTGTAGCCCTAACACTTTCACAGGAACGAATGGATCACATACGCAGCTCGGTTCTGTGCCTTGCGCTTGCTTTGTGCTGGAGTCAAATTGTCCTTTTCCTCGCTGCTGCTCCGATGCTGGAGTTGGTCATCGCCGCCTTCGACAGATCCAGGCTCCGCATGGCTAGGGAATTCATTGCTCGAAACTGAGTGTTTGGAGAAGGATTCAGGTGGGGAGTGCGGCGGAGGGACGAAGGACGAAGGGGCGGCGGGGTTCTGAATGCGAAAGGAAGGATCGAACGAATGATAATTCTAGGTCAAGACAGGGTTAGTATCAGTTCAGCAGAATGGGCGACGTAGGGAAACAACTAGAGAACTGAATGGATCATTAATATCATCGCCATTAGGCGCTGGGTTGTTCTGATCGGGTGTAGGTAGTCCGTGGAGATCGTACACGGAGAACGGCTGCTGTGACTGAGGATTGGAATAAAATGAGTAGTCCATATCTCCGCACTTGTCTCAACCAAAGTACGTCTTCTTGCAGTGGATGGCCGGCCTATAAGAGAGCAGGTAAGAATACAATGTTGATAAAATCGCTGAGACACTTCCTCTCTTATCGATGGGAGACAGCGGTCAGGATGGTACGGAGACAGATTTAATGGGGCTGAGCCTTGGATCTGCTTTTTGTTCGGAGAACCCAAGAAACTAAGAGTACAGGAACAACTTAGAATAACGTGGATGCGAAGCAACCGAAATTTCGCCGCACCCGATAATTGACACAAGCTTTTAAGAAGCATGGCATGATTCTGCGTAATCATAATGATGAAGATGTAGATGTAGATATTGAAAGCACTTCGGGACAACGCGGGGTGGGTATGATGGCACCTTCATTATCGATGTCAACTAAGGGAATCGCCCCCGATAATCTGATCGAACAGAGGACAAGAATTTCCAGGTAGCTTATCAATGCCACCACTCCATGAGAGACTTAAGTTCTTTACATCAAATCTACCTATGACTTCCGCATTTGCTCCCCGAAGCCACAAAAGGAGCTATAGGCAACTACGAAAGTGCCAGCCCAGTGATACTGCAAAGACGAAGGAAATTGATTCACGACAAAAGACTGAGATATTATCTGAGTGACCGAAGAGACAGTATGAGAGAACCTAGCCGATAGCTTTCGAGTTGGCTCGCGATAGGTCCTCACAACTGGACCCGTCGACACAATGCGAGAGAGAGTGGAAAAACACATCAAAGCCATAAGATGCCGTTAAAGTGAACACAAATCGACGTGATACCCCCCCGGAAGCGACCCTAGCCATTTTCCGTCGCCAATTACCCAAACGCAGAGACGCATTTCCCTCGTGCCTGACCCACTGCAAGTCGTCCCATAATCCTCATAACCGGACAGTCGTGAGATAAGTTTGTTGAAAGGGACAACAGCAGGAGCCCCAAAAGTAGACACCCAGAAGTTGCCGTCTTCACCACATCATGGCAGGTCGTTCCCTCTGTCATCGTCCCCTGTCGACACGTCGATAACTCACAAGCAAAACGATGGAAAGTACATGAAAGCATGCAGGACATAAGAAGACGATGGGAAGTGCAAGAGCAAGATGGGGTTGGCAAAGTATTGAAACAGGACAGTAGATAATCAATCTGAGGATCCCCAGTGACATTTGTCGACATTCTGATAAAGCTGTTTCGTCACAATACTGATGATCCCGTTTATGCATCTCTTATCACCCGACCCACCCGGCAAATTGCTGAGACTGAAAATCTCGATTCAAATATGAATTCGAGTGACTGGACCAAGGTAGGTAAACGGGTAAAAATATAGCCGCAGTAAAAAGCATTTCGAGGCTGCTATCGATTTCCCTTCATAAAAAGCGTCCGCGTATCGAGTACCGAAGTAGTGAAAATGGTGGGGTTGTCGAGCGTTGAAGAAAAGCCTCCACCGAGTGAAAACACGAAAGACTGATAAGCGAACTGACGAAGTAGAGAACGATAGCGGTCCGTCGAAGCGTCGTAGATCGAAAGACGATCAGGTCTGGATAAAGGGCTGATAAGAGTGCACGGGAACAACAAAAGAAAAAAAGAATGGAGATCCAAGGCAAAAGAAGTCCGAGAAGATTGCTGCACGATGCAGATAGGTACCGTGATGACAGGAGGTCCCGGGCTTCGAAGTTGGTGTAAGTTGTTGGCATGCAGGAAGCTGAAATACGATCAAAAGACGAGTAAAATCAAGCTGCGCTGCCATGCTGCACAATTAGTACCACTGAGCACCGTATCCATCGTCCCGCTTCGTACGGCTACCGGCAGGCCCATAAGCACCTGAAGCAGCAACCTTGGAAGCAGAGCGCAGCCTAATGCCGAAGACTATGAGATTAGTCAGATTCTAGAACTGAAGAGGACCTCCACGCGCAGAGCGGATCTTGAACACCAAACGCAGAGGAAAGGGGTTC